TCTGAACGCGTTCTTAGAAACAAACGCAGTGCGAAGACTCAAAAATTTATTACTTTTGATTATACCGTTCTAATTTACAGAAAACAAAACAGTTTTTTTCTGTCGGTGTCACTGTGGACGGGTTTGTCATTAAATTCGTTCGAATCACCTAGATTTTATAGGTGCGCTACATATTTGGACATTATCCAACTTTTTTATTTCACCATCCATAATCTAGAATCCGCTCGATGCTCGGGGAGCTCGATGGCGCAGGTGGTTAGTGCGTTCGGCTGCGATCGTTGTAGTTAAGCAACTTTCGCAGTGGTCGGTCATTGGATGGGTGACCAAAAATTTCTATCTCGAGTTCCTCCGTGCTTCGGAAGGCACGTTAAGCCGTTGGTCCCGGTTGCATCTGCAATCGTTAGAACCCGCCAATCCGCACTGGGCCCGCGTGGTGGGTCATGGCCCAATCTCCCTATTCCATCCATAGGGAAGGCCTGTGCCCCAGCAGTGGGGACATAAAGATGCTGATGATGAATCTAGAATCCAAAAATAACGATTCCGTAGTCATCACTTTAAGGATCTGTATCTATATTTAGCAAAATGAATGAATCATGTACGAAACGAAAAAGAGTTCCCTTGCTTGCATTTAGATTTTCTGGAGAAGGTGTTATTAAAATATTAAACTTGCTGACCCGGTGAACTTTGTAGCGCTTCATCATCATCATGATGATCATCTTCATCATCATCAACAGTCTATCTTAGTGCACTGCTGGACATAAGCCTCGTACAACAATTTGCCACAACAACGATGTACACAATCTCTATCATACAGTTTTCTTATCACCAATTGTGGTTGATTGAAATTTTGAAGTATGATCGCCACCGAGCTAAGCTTCAGTTTTAAAAAGTGCTCGGATAGAGCATCCTCTTATGAGACACCAGCCAGACATTTTTCTGGGTTTAACAGTCAATCCGATAGTTGGTGGCTATGACTTCGTCTGTTACACAATGAAGTGTACCAACACCGTGTTTCTGATTAAGAAGTTTTAATCATCCAAAACGGTCATCTTAGCCACCTGGAATTGCTCACTGTCTCAACCGCTTATTTATTTTAATAATATACTTTGTTAAAGTATTCGCAAACATTACTTTCAGTGAGGCAATAATTTGGAGCAGATCAGAATCTTCAGCAAAATCAGATGGATTGTTCAACAAAGTATCTGTGAAAAATGTAACTATTTGCTGTCAGCTTCAAAATCTTCACATAGCGCCATAGATTTGATAATTTGAGGCAAGCATTAATTTCATTAGCTTAGTTGATTTTGTTATGACTGTTACTGTTCAAAAGATAAGCTCGAGTTATTGCACAGGTTAAAATGATTGCATTGTCGATCTAAACTTCTTAGTACTTTTCCCATCTGAAATAAAGGCAATTAAAAATAGTTTTTAGAAGGAAAATTTACACACGTGTAAAGAGAGAGTGGAGAGTCGTGTGATGACTAAATCCTCGAAGGTAACTTAAGCACATTTGTTTCTTAGGTTTTCATGAACATCACTCATTAAATTAAACAAGTTTCAACGGTATAGATGCACTGATTTATTTATTTATTGGCGTTTCGCATCCTTTACAGGATGCGTCATCTGAATAATGATATGCGAAACGTCCTTTACAGGATGTGTCGTCTGAATAATGATATGCGAAACGTCCTTTACAGGATGCGTCGTCTGTATAATGAGATGCGAAACGTCCTTTACAGGATGTGTCGTCTGTATAATGATATGCGAAACGTCCTTTACAGGATGTGTCGTCTGTATAATGATATGCGAAACGTCCTTTACAGGATGCGCCGTCTAAATAATGATATGCGAAACGTCCTTTACAGGATGCGTCGTCTGTATAATGATATGCGAAACGTCCTTTACAGAATGCGTCGCCTGTATAATGATATGCGAAACGTCCTTTACAGGATGCGTCGTCTGTATAATGATATGCGAAACGTCCTTTACAGGATGCGTCGTCTGTATAATGATATGCGAAACGTCCTTTACAGAATGCGTCATCTGTATAATGATATGCGAAACGTCCTTTACAGGATGCGTCGTCTGTATAATGATATGCGAAACGTCCTTTACAGGATGCGTCGTCTGTATAATGATATGCGAAACGTCCTTTACAGAATGCGTCGTCTGTATAATGATATGCGAAACGTCCTTTACAGGATGCGTCATCTGTATAATGATATGCGAAACGTCCTTTACAGGATGCGTCGTCTATATAATGATATGCGAAACGTCCTTTACAGAATGCGTCGTCTGTATAATGATATGCGAAACGTCCTTTACAGGATGCGTCGTCTGTATAATGATATGCGAAACGTCCTTTACAGGATGCGTCGTCTGTATAATGATATGCGAAACGTCCTTTACAGAATGCGTCGTCTGTATAATGATATGCGAAACGTCCTTTACAGGATGCGTCGTCTGTATAATGATATGCGAAACGTCCTTTACAGAATGCGTCGTCTGTATAATGATATGCGAAACGTCCTTTACAGGATGCGTCGTCTGTATAATGATATGCGAAACGTCCTTTACAGGATGCGTCGTCTGTATAATGATATGCGAAACGTCCTTTACAGAATGCGTCGTCTGTATAATGATATGCGAAACGTCCTTTACAGGATGCGTCGTCTGTATAATGATATGCGAAACGTCCTTTACAGGATGCGTCGTCTGTATAATGATATGCGAAACGTCCTTTACAGAATGCGTCGTCTGTATAATGATATGCGAAACGTCCTTTACAGGATGCGTCGTCTGTATAATGATATGCGAAACGTCCTTTACAGAATGCGTCGTCTGTATAATGATATGCGAAACGTCCTTTACAGGATGCGTCGTCTGTATAATGATATGCGAAACGTCCTTTACAGGATGCGTCGTCTGTATAATGATATGCGAAACGTCCTTTACAGGATGCGTCGTCTGTATAATGATATGCGAAACGTCCTTTACAGGATGCGTCATCTGAATAATGATATGCGAATCGTCTTTAAATAAATAAATCAGTGCATCTATACCGTTGAAACTTGTTTTATTCACATTAGCATATTTCAAATTTGTTCGGATTGATTGGCTGGTCTTTGTTCTATAATCTCCAAAATTAGCCAGCCCCTAATCATTTAATCGACTATTACGGCACACTTACGGCTTACAGGAAAATTAAGAGTGTCTATTTATTTTTTGGTAAGCAAAACCAATTGGAGTACATGTTGAAATTAAAACGTCGATATTGATATGTTAGATAAATAAATTCCTTCTACCTACCACATTCAATGATTGTGATTGATATCCATCGTCTTCTTGCAAAAACATCAGCATAATTTCTTATCACTACTTTCCGATTAGTTTTGGTTAAATTAAATTTGTATTTTAGATTATTTATTACGTCACTGATTTTCAGTGATCTCAGTACAAATAAGCATTACAAATGCGTGACGTGAACTCTCAATTGCAAAAGTTGGTGGAGTACGATACGTAATGTTTTTCATGTATACATATATACACACAAACACAATATATATAACACACATATACAATGGCGCGAGCGCATTGCACACATCTCGCCCTTGTTTGGTCGAGGGTTTTCTAAACTATTATGCTATAACTAAAAAATGAAAATCCGTAATTGGCATTAAGATAAACTATATTGTAAAACCTGTATTATATTAAGAATATGCTGTGGATTTTGGTCTAGAATTAAATAAATAAAACTTATTTCAAAATTCCGTGTCTTATCCGATATTTTATTAGTTTAATCTGGTATTTCAAGCGGAGAGGAATCAAAAATCAGGACTTATTGAAATCTGCTGTTCTTGAGTTATAAGTATTCAAACTAACTCGACTTATATTTTTTAATATAATAATATAAATAATAATAATAATAATCATTTATTCATAACCCTCAACATTTTACATTTAAAGTAATAATAATAATAATAAATATTGCCAACACTCACACCAATTAGCCTAGCCCCCAAGTAAGCACTTTAAGGCTTGTGTTATGATGGGATACTAGGGTAACGGATACAATACATATACTGTACATATTTAAGTATATTTATATAGAATTACATATTTAACATCCATGACTGGAGTACAAATGCTCGTATTCATCACACAAACATCTGCCCCCACCGGGATTCGAACCCGGGACCTCTCGAGTTGGCGACACCATGAAACCCGGCGTACAAACCACTCGGCCACGGAGGTCGTCTAAAGGTCGTCTAAAGTATTAAGCTAATAAAGTCTACGAGTATTTATATAAAAGTCTGAAGAAATGGACCCTTAACCCAGAAACTAGTAAAAACTGTAATTATCAGTGTTAGTGATTCCTCGGACGACATATTGCAAAAATATTAATATGGAACATAGATTTGCAAATGTTCTTTACATTGGTTGACCTTATAAAAACAAATACCCAGTCGAACACAGAACCTCCTTCTTTTCTGAAGTCGGTTAAAAATAGCAATTAATTGCATTTTTTTTTAAAGAAACAGATGCAACAAATTGTATTCAACAACCATCACAGTTTGTTCGGAGTTCGGACACGCGAACGCGTCATTATGGGTCTTAAAACAAATTCTGGAAGTAGAGAAATTATGGGGAATGAAATATAATATCTATACTTACGGCTGCTATGTATTATGTGTTACTTTGGTAATGGTATTAAATACATACATTCCATACATTCGGTTCATGCCAAAATGTCTCTTAAATCCGAGAGCTTACGTGCAAAAGAATAGAAATGAAACCAAGGTAGAATTTGTTTGACTATATAATTGTGTCTAGGCTTGTTGAAAATATATCGATATTTTTTGTTCGATATATCGTTATTTTTAGCCGATATATTTTGATTCGATATATTTATACATCGATACAAAAAACCAATATTGAAATTCGTATCAAAAACGATATTTTTTCGGTGCGGTCGTTAATTATTGTTTGTTTGTTTCCAGCGGCGAATGCACCAGGCGTCCAGAAGCCGCAAGGCGTAGACCACTTGAGCCGGCCTCGGAGGAGCGACCAGATGATCGGATCATTCTGGAACCTGTGTCGCGCGTGCCCTTCCATGCCCGTCGACAAGGTTAGTCCTCAGTTAATATCGTTACCAGCCCTCTGAGCCATTAGAACAAGTTTTTGACAGCTCCGTAAAGTACCTTGGTTGATTGCCCAAAGAAAAAACACGTGTCCATTATTTTTTGATCATCTAACTGACGGACTAAATAGAATTTCGTTTACTGTACCGCGTCATCACCCCTACTATGCTACTAAAACCTTTACTGATCGTGTCAAATTTCCTCTAATATTTCTTATGGCGCGATGACACTTGGTCGTTTGCCCGAATACGAGTGCCTATGGAATTCGGGCAAAAGACTAAGTGTAAATGAACGGAGTCCAGTACGCCCGTAATTGGGTTGAATTCCTTTTGTTTACCCGACACCGTCTTCCAACCCGTATACCAGTGTAAATATTGCTTCGGTTTCCCGAACTCGAGTATTTTTTTATAAAAGAGGCAGGGGAACTTTTATTGCCTTACTTAAATATTGATGCAAAGGGACTACAAAATGTATTTTGCTTAATATTTACGCTCTCCAAATAAATTCAGCTACACAGTTTTAGTCTTATATAACAGTATAAGCTCAATAGAAGCGATCGGTCCAAATTTCCAACATATATTATAGATAGACTCACGTGCGAGACTACGCTATTAAGGCTTCACAGAATTAGGGAATAGTTAATCCAAAATGTCTGCCACATCGCCTATGTCATGGAACGCTAACCTTTCCGGACAGTAAACTGAATGTAATCAATTTTAATGGCCGTTACAAACGATCGTAACTGATGAGAATATTTGGGGACGTTCTTCGATAGTGTAAAAACCTCACATTAATCTCTTATCTATTAGACGAATCCGTCTGTCCGTGGTGCTGTTTCAGCGGCCAAACCGTAAGAGATAGATAAAGAGAATATTTAAGTTATAAGTTAAGAATAGTCTGATAAGACTACAAACCGGATTTGAGTAACGTAGCACTTCCGCTTTTCGAGAAATCAGGTTTTGGTGAACATTTGGTTCACTGGTTTGCTAGTATGATATTAATAGGTGAAGGAAAAATAATAACCTCTTTTGAAGTTTAAAGTTGTTCTTTATTCATTCTATAACGACTCATCCTACTCTTTATTTTGTCCTTACTCAACCTATCTATATTCCTCACTCAACCCACAAAAAATATTTCATTTTTAATTCCATATTCATCATCAGTATTCCTAGCTCAAACCATTTGGAAAATCACGTAAAATAGAGGTGTGTGTGTGTGTATAAATAATATGGAAGCATATATATATATATACACACATCAAAAGTGTCTAGGGATCAAGCATTTTTATGCGGATTTCTTGAGATTGAGATGTGGCTTTGTAATAAATTTATGATTTTATAAATTTATATGGATCCTTTTTGGTGCATTTCATAATTTGAATCAGGAACTGTGAATCAAATTCGAGTAAAAGATGAAAATCAGCTGTCAATATTTTCCCTATAAAAACATACAACGCATTGAAGACATTATTAGTGCTACTGTTTCCCTACTACTGATTAAAACCAACGTTATTATGGAGCGGCGACGTCAGTTAAGCAGGGAAGAAATGCTCAGAGCCGTGGGAATGATAGAAGCTGGTTCCCGGCAACGTACTGTGGCTTTAGCTCTGAATACAAGTCAGAGTGTTATCAGTCGACTTTGGACACGATACCGAAGCACTGGTACCGTGGCTGAGCGCCATGGAGGACGGTATCGCTGCACCACACGGAGACAAGACCGATACATTCAAATCTTAACTCGAAGAGCTCCAACAATAACCGCCATGATGTTAGCCGTGAGGCTTCATCACTCTTCAGGGAACTTAATTAGCGACCAAACAGTCAGAAACCGCTTGCATGAAGTGAACCTTCATTCCCGAAGACCGCTACGGGTACCACCTATAGCAATGCACAATCGTAGGATTCGATATCAATGGGCTCTTGAACACAGAAATTGGGCAGAAGAACAATGGCGTTTCGTGTGCTTTTCTGATGAGTCTCGTTTTGGTATGAGACCGGATACAAGACGTATACGACACTGGAGAACCCCTGGACGCCAACAGCGATTAAAATCCTGCCAGGAAGTCCATCCTTATAGTGGTGGAACCATCATGGTATGGGCGGGTATTTGGATCGGCGGAAGAACTGAGTTGATTTGGATCAGAGGCAACCTCAACGCTCAAATTTATGCTGAGACGATTGTATCAGACGTCATCGTTCCTCTACAAGTGCAAATCGGTCCCTTATTTCAGTTAATGCATGATAATGCACGACCGCACACCGCAAGAGTTGTAAGACAGACTCTCGCCGCAGCTAACATCAATGTCCTGCCCTGGCCTGCTCAGTCGCCATACTTGAACCCGATTGAGCATGCATGGGATATGCTACAGAGAAGAGCTCTGCCGAATATGGAGGGTATCCAGTCGCAAGAAGACCTTTTTTTGTTGTTGCAACGAACATGGGCGGCCATTCCACAGCGTGATTTGGATGAACTCATTTTGAGTATGCCAAACCGATGTTCTTGTGTTGTTAGTGTTCGCGGTAGAAATACGGATTATTAATTGTTTAAGTTACCCAATAAAATTTTAGAGAAAACTGTTATTTCAGTCTTTTTTTCGAACTTTTGTGTTAGTGGTTCAAATGTCAAAAATCCCTTTATTAGGAAAATTGCAAATTTCTTTATTAATGGAAAGGTGACTTGGTTTATCGTTACTGTGACAAACGAAAACACTTTATTTGATGAATCCTTAAAGAAAATTTTAATTAATATCAATCAGGAGAAAAGTTATTGCAAAAGTATATGTTGATCCCTAGACACTTTTGATGTGTGTATATATAAAAAGTTAATATTTACGCAAATATCTTATATGAGATAATAGTCATGATAACTAAACTTTTTCACTGCTACATAGAAGAGCAAAAGTTTTCGAAAGCTATTGCTACCATGATTATAGAGACAGATGCGAGGATGTTTTAAATAAATACCCCAAGAAAGATTGGGCCATGACCCACCACGCGAGCCCAGTGCGGATTGGTGGGTGCTAACGACTGCAGATGCAGCCGGGACCAACGGCTTAACGTGCCTTCCCAAGCACGGAGGAGCTCGAGATAGTAAATTTTTGGTCACCCATCCAATGACCGACCTCTGCGAAAGTTGCTTAACTTCAACGACCGCAGCCGAACGCGCTAACCACTTGCGCCATCGAGCTCCTCCTCCTCATAATTATATACCTAAAATAAATTACTCTCTAACAAAGGCCGCTAAAGCTAAAGGTTCCAAGTTCCAACTCATACAACAAAACTTCAAAAGCGACACGGTAACTGAAAATATATATATATATTGTTTGTGTCAGCTCCGACGCACGACTGGAGTTTACTTAAGTTCGATAGTCTAACCAGACGCAAAAAGAGTTTATTTAACTTAAAAAAGATTGATACTGTATGAAAGGGTAAATTAACAAATAAATGAAAATAATATACATATATAAATATATATTTATTCATTTCATATACATTTATTATAACTAATCGACGAAATATTTTACATTAAACTTTTTACAATAGTCAATTTCAGATGTGCATAGATATATCATTAGGAATGTTGATAAATTATGTAATTATTATTATCAGACTGTTATCATTTTTTTTTAAATATTAATTAAATCAACATTGTCTGCATTATTAATTACAGTAACAAGTGGTTTATGGTTATTAATGTCAATCCGTCATCTTTGTTTGTCAAAGTTGTGCGACATAGGATGCGCACCAAAAACGTAACGAGACCATTCATCGATAGATTTTACTCCTCACATTTTTCTCATACCTGGCCCCTTATATATGCAAATCGATTCTTAAGGAGTAAACTTCAATTACAAATCAAATATCTGCAAATAAATCCGCTATCCATCCATTGGGTAAGATAATGTTAAACGGAAATCCCGACCAATCGCATGATAGCATTTTCTGGCCCACTTTTTTTGTTGCGTGGAACCGTAGGGAGTGGAACTCCTTATCGAGGTCTGTTTTCCCTGACCAATATAATCTGGACATCTTTAAGGCCACAGTGAACAAGCATCTTCTAGGCAGGCGTGTACCATCCTAGGCCTCATAATCGCTTTCCATCAGGCGAGATTGTGGTCAAACGCCTTGCCTATTAAACATTAAAAGAAAAAAAAAACACTTTTTAGCTCAGTTCCTATTCCATATTATTTCTAATTCGTTAAAGAAATCCAAGGAAACCCGCACGGAAGGCAGCGCTATGTTAGCATAACAAGAGACATCTCAGTAATGCGATCTCACTCAGCTTCCCATTAGCGTGTACCAATAGATGTGACGTCACCAGCACGCAGATTGTATTGCATTTGCAGAGAGCGAGCGAGCTTGGAATAAGAATGATACGCGAGTTATATCTATCTGAATAACTAAACGAAGAGCTCAATGGCGTGGGTGGTTAGCGAATTCGGCTACGATCGTTGAAGTTAAGCAACTTTCGTAGTGGTCGGTCATTGGATAGGTGGCCAAAAATATATAAAATAAGCCGTTGGTCCCGGCTGCATTTGCAGTCGTTAGCACCCGCCACAACGCACTAGGCCCGCGTGGTGGGTCATGGCCCAATCTCCCTATTCCATCCATAGGGAAGGCCTGTGCTCCAGCATCACTGCTGCTGCACATTAATAGGCTGATGATGAACTGTAAACGAATGAAAAAATAGCAAGGGGCAAAGTGGACCTCACTCATTGAGCAAGTTGTGTGACAAATTGTAAAACGAAGTTTAAAGAGGCAGGGCATAGCGGATTCGCTAGAATTGGAACGCTCGTCCGAGGAAGTAATCTCCACCTAACAGAAGACACAGTACAATAACACTGCCTTTTGTTGTTGTTGTGTTTCAGTCGGTCAGTAAGCTTTCAGGCAAATCTATATATCGGGTTTTCGGTGAATTGTCGCCGATCAACTTGCTCCAAGGGGTAGGGAATATGATCAGTGTAGGCAACGGCGCGAGTGAATTTTTT